AGAGACAGACAGAGACAGAGAGAGGAGAGAGAGAGAGAGACAGAGACAGAGAGAGACAGAGAGAGACAGAGAGAGGAGAGAGAGAGAGAGACAGAGACAGAGAGAGACAGAGAGAGGAAAGAGAACAACTCCTGGCCACTGAGAGAAAGCTGAGGAGGGAGGGAGGCATCCGGTCAGGCCCTCCCCTCCCAGAGCTGGTCTCTTGCCCGCAGCCCCCGGCCTGTGGGTCACACGGAAACTGCCCCTTGGGCGCGCCTGCCTCCTCTTTTTCCTCGGTTGTTCTCCATCCTGTCTCTTCGCTACTCTTTCTTCCCTCTCGCTGCGACTTTGCCTTCGCCTCCTATTGTGACTCTTCATCATTGCTCGTCACACTGACTCAAGTGGCCTTTTTAAGGGCAGGTAACATTTAGTCGCCGGGTTTGGGTCAGTAATGAGCGAAGCCAACACAATGATCCAGTTCAGGGCTGTGTTGTTATGACTCAGCTTCGGCGTCACCACTGAAGAGTCAGTTGCCGGACTTTGGAAAATCACTCAACCTTGTCTTTCTCTCGCTACCTGTAAATTGGGGATCATGGTTCCTACCCAGAGGTGTGGTTAGGCTGGGCGAGAGTGCCTGTGCCACGCTCAAGAGCGCTTGGCGCCCGGTCTCAGTAACTGTGTTGGCTCTTACTGTTTGAAAATGTTTATTGCAGGGTTTGAAAATGTTTATTCCTGATACTGCGCTCAGGAAACTTCATGCCGCTTCCCTTTGTTGAAGGATCCACAGAGCAGAACCCCTGGGGCAAGAGGGAGTGGCACCTGGAGGCTTCCTGGGCTCTTTTCTGAGTAGATAGTGGTCTTGCGACAGCCTGGGCACAGAACACTTGGACGGGGGCGAGCAATCTTTAGCAAAGACTTTCCTCAGGTGGGAATAAGCTTGTGGAGCGTGAGGTGAACCAGGCCAAGGCCGGGGGAGGGGCAGGGAGGAAGGGTGGGGTGGAAGCGGGCGCCCCGGGGCGCCCCTGGCAGGCTTTGGGTCCCCGCGGCCGGGGAAGCGCCCGGGCTAGAGCGGAAGGATGCGCGGGCCCCGAGCGCGTCCGGCACTGTCCGCTGTTTCTCGGGGGAAGGCGCCGAGTCCGGGCAGTTTTCAGAGCTTGGGCTCCGGCGGCCGCGAGAGAGCAGGGGCGCCGGTGCCGCGGTCGGGGGCTCTGCCGTCCGCTGGGGCGAGAAGCCCCTGGGAGGAACTCCGGGCCTCGGAGAGCCCGGCGGGGTGCAGGGCGGA